AATCGTCAAGCGACGTGAAAGGTTATGACCTGCTTTGTTTTATTTTCAAATTACATTTTTTCGGCGCAGAAGCTAAGTTAAGCTTGGTTCAAAATATTTTAAATAAACAGTATAATATCTGTTTTTATTAAAATCAGTTTTGAAAAAATGATAATTGATTTTTAAAAGAATATCAAAGTAAGCTTTTAATCTTTTTTAACAAATCGAAAAAAATGATTGAAAATGATTATCTGTCCTTTTTTTTGACCAAAAAAAAAAAACAATATTTTTAACAAAAATTTCAGACGTGCTAGGAACGATTAAAAATGTAAAAAAATACCCCCAAAATACTTTTGATCTTTCCTCTTTAATAATAATATGAACATTAGACGATAAAATTTTGTTTTCGTCAAGTTCAGCGTCTTTTTCATCATGCTATGCTCTTTTGTTTACATTTTCGTGGGTGAGTTGTCCCCTTTCATTCTCACGATGTGTCTTAATCGTGTTTTCAAATTGATTTTATTAAAAAAACAATTGTTTTTCCCATTTTCGGCGCCGTTAGAACCACCAAAAGGTAATTTTATGTAGTCCTGTGAAGTTTTGTTGAAATCGGCTAAAAAATGTAGGAAATTCGATCCAACATATAAACGTTACACACACACACACACACACACACACAATCTGCGTTTTATAATAAGTAAGATATACAAATACATATATATATATATATATATATATATATATATATATATACACCTACCTACCTACATACATACATATATATATATATATATATATATATATATATATATATATATATATATAATAATCAAATAAATCCCTTTACCTCATATGGGGAATAGCCTATGTCGGTAGACATCAAAGGAGGTCGTCTGTCTTTTCAACCCCTGTGTGAAAAAACATATGAGGTAAAGGGATTTGTTTAATTGTCAATGATATTGCTCTGTATAATCAAAATACACTAAGCTCTTTTTTGTGGATCAGTTCTAATATTTTCATATTACTAGGATCCACTTGGATTATATTATATACCAATTGATTTTTTACTTTACTTTCTCTCTCTCTCTCTCTCTCTCCATATATATATATAATAGCTGGCCACTCATATTTGAGGGTACCCGCCTATTAGGGAGGTTACCCAATCCCTATTGCAGACACTTGGTCAGGCACATTTGTGTTTGTTCAACACCGACAGAGACAGCTTGCAGTTCATACTGCAACTATGCTGAGCAGACCTTATTTACAGTTTCTGGGAGTGATCAACAATCTGAACAAGGCCAGCACACTCAAACCCTACGTCATGATGACTTGTGACTTTGTTCTAGCACAGCTATCAATGGCCCCTAAGGTTTCTGCCTACTCATTTTCACTCACAAGGCTTGGGTCAACCTGTGGTATGGTTATCAGGCACTTTCCAAAAGTGTTGCATGCTGGGATCATCCCCCTCCAGTCCAATAACATCAGTAAGTCTACTTCCTAACAGATCAACCATGGTGAGATTTGAACCTGGGTCTCGTGGTCAGAAAACGAATGTTCTAACTACGCACCCATATAATAATGGACTCTCCTGTTGGTTTTGACATATGAGGATCTGACAACTGAACTGATTCTGTTATGAAATTTTGTGTGATGATCTTAAGTGGCACTTAAATCCTGCTAGTGATTTACAAAGGAGGCCACATATGGAGCAAGTGTAAGGATTGTGGGATGAGAACACTGTTAGAGATGCTGGCCTTTTAGATCTTGCTCTCACTTCTTGAAGACGATTCAGACAAGCTGATTGAAAACTACTGATTCCACTAAAATATGTTGATCTCCATTCTACCCGCTCCAAGGTTAAGCGCTCAAGAGTGTTATGAGGTATATTGACAGCTGACAAGTTGCTCTTCAGCTTGTCTTTGTATCTTAGGCATGAGCATCCTACATTCCTGTAGCCCTGATCTGCGCATTAGGATCTTGGGTATTCTGTCATCAGACATTCTCAAGGCATGATCAGTCCACTGTAACTGAGACTGTATGAAAAAGTCTCGATTCCTCTAATATTACACCTGTTAAACAGGTCTACATTAGATATCCTATCTTGAAGCTTAACTCCACAGATGGCATGCAGACAGCTTTTATGGAAAACATAAATACAGCTATACATATATATATGTTTGTATATATTCCTTTAATTCTTTTGTATATATATATATATATATATATATATATATAAATATATATATATATATATATATGTATATATATATATATATATATATATATATATATATATATATATATATATATATATATATATATTATTTTTTGAACAATAAAAAATATTAAAAAATTAAAATCTTCAGACACACTGGGTTGTAGATTAATATTCTTTTGTTTTTATTATTATTATTTCATTTAGATTCCTCGACTAGTTTTGGCCAAAATGGCCATCATCAGGAGAAGAAATATTTCTGCTTGCCGATAGCAGTGAACTACAGAAATGAATGTCATGATGGAGAAAATGAACTTTTGTCTGTAGTTTTCATTTGTTTTTTTATTTTTTTATTTTTAACGTTCCTCTTTTAACGTTCCTTGAGTTGGTCAAACAGTCTCTTTTAAGTTGTTATTTGAGATAACAGCTGGATGGATCCATGCTGCTCTGAATTCCCTGATCAGTTTGACAGTTTTATATATATATATATATATATATATATATATATATATATATATATATATATATATATATATATTCAATTTTTATATATATTATATATAAAAATTTTAACTCCCCCACCAATTCTAAGTTCTTGTGCCAAACAAAACTTATTTAGTTGGGAAAGAGAACACATGCTTTTCTTCTCCTTGATGTCAAAATAGGCACAAATCACAAAAAAAGTTTCAGTTACTGCATAAAATTTTGAGGGCAAAAAGGTACAAATACAAAATTTGCACAAAAATTTCTTTTTGTGCACTTATTAAGGGAGGATAACAAATTTCAAATGGTTCTGCAAAAGCAGAAAATACAAAAGCACTCCCACCTAATTTCTTCAACTGAATAGGAATTACTCAGCACAAAGGGTTTTCTTGTTTGCCACAGGTTGTTGTCTTACCGGGTTTGAATCTGCCTATAGCTGTTGGCTATTCTTTCTTTCCCATGATGATTTATGACCTCTTTGGCTGGACTAATCCACTGGCCTTGAAGTGTGGGCACTAATGCTTCCACCTTGATGATTAATTGCTTTCTGAAGCCATCCGCTAACCGCAATCCTCTTATTTAACAAAAGAGTATGACACTAGCTCCACCCAGGTTTTCACAAGTTCCTTCATTGGCCAGAAAATATGAAAACTTATTTCTCCATAAATTCAAAAAATCAATCAGCAACAATTCACAAAGAAACAATTTTGGCGGTTCTTTAATCTAGACACTAATACTAAAATAGATTTTCACACAACTGTAACAATTTATGTTTACAACCCTTTTCTCAAAGGTACATGTTAAAAAAATCACCTAGATAACTAAATAAGTATTTGCTATACTAAAGACTAAGTTATAAAAAATAAAATTTTTATATATATCAATGGGAATGTACCTATACATGTATTTGTAATCTTTCTTTTATGTATTAAAAGTGTGTCAACTTGATAAAATTTCTTGCACTTTTCTCTTGCTTTATTCCATTCAAATAAAAATTTCTTTTTCTTTTCCACTCTTAAATTCTTTCAGTTCATAGTTTGAATTTTTATTGAAAGTGTTTTTCAACAAAATGACTTCTCAGCAAAAAGATTCTGTATCAAATAACTTTTTATCAGAAGACAACTTTTCATCTTATATTGCAGAAAATGATAAAATAATTAAACAAGAACAAGGTACAAATGAAATATTTATTGAACAACTAACTGATGATTTCTAAAGAAATACATTACAATGCAGTGAATGAACAGATAAAAAAGAATTGTCACTGCTGCGAATAATTACCTTTCAATTGCAATATCCTTATTGCTAATTTCACTCAAAGTTGTTTTCTATTGCCATAGCAGGATATGACTATACAACTATGAAATCCAAATTTAGTGACCTTCAGTGGTAGGATAAACTTTTTGTAAAGGAAATGAAGTTATATACAAGAGTAATAAAGGTTAAGAGAAAAGGTTAAGTACCATAACTTGCACATGAATTTCTCTGGAAGTTATGCACAAGAAGGATTTAGCAATCAATCAGATTGTGTTTTCTGAAATTTAAATTGTTTTTTAAAATCAATTTTGACTTTGTATTCATCCCCATTTTGCACAGATTTAGCCTAAATGAAAATTGTGAATACAAACAGTTTTCATCATTATTTTTTTGGCACAAACACTTAGCACCTATTTCCTTCCAAGTTGCTGATGATTCTCATTTATCAGAATATAGAACAAGGAGAGCTTTTAAATGTTCCATTTAAAAAAGATCTTTCAAATCAAATATTTTTATTTTAATTTTTCAACATATTTTGTTTTTGGCATTTTTTTTTTAGAAAATTCTTATAACTTTCCATATCAAATACAAAACTTTTTTAAATTTTACATCAGTTAATATATATTCATTACTTGAAAATGAAATAATTTAAAGCATTGTAATGAAGTACATGATTGAATATATAAAAAGTAAAAATTTGCTAAAATATAAAATGAGATAGAAAAATATTTGAAATGAAAGAACTTTTTCTTTTTTCAAAAGTCTGATAGAATTTTGAACAAGCTTTACAATAAAGTGTAGAGAATATCGGCCATCACTTTTTCACTCTAACCTCTAAATTATTTCATTCTTCTATCGTTAATAACAATTACAAATAATTTTGAGCTGATAATTCTGAAAATCTGTTGTTTTAAGAAAATGTACTGTGCTGAAATGATCTAAGGGAGATAACTCTAAGGACACTGAAGCCTTTGCCCAATAGAGGACGCTCATACGTTTTTATTACTCAGTTTCATCTGACAAGGTCAAGCAGTTCGGTGGGAGCAACATAAAAAGTTTCGGGAAAATGTTTCGATTTTTCTTTGGAGATACAAGGTAGGGCAATTTATTTTTGTTTTTTCATTTAGTGTTTTTTTTTTTTACGAGATTTCTTTGACTAGATTTAGTTGTAATACCTTACATTAGACATAATTAGATAAAATAAAAATATAGTGTTCAGTTTTTCTCTTCTTTTTATAACGTGTAAAAAACAAATTATTGTTTACTTTTACTTTTTTACGTGGAATAACTGATGCAATAATTCAGAACTCTGGTTTAAAAAATTAAAATAAGAAATGGAGAGAATTTGATAATATTATATTTTAAAACAGACTTTATAATTAAAATAAATAATTTAACTCTACTTTTTTTTAAGTTTACCGGAAGTTTTTTTTTTTTTTTTTTTTTTTTGGTGATTATGTTTTTTGTTTTAATATTTAAGCTGATTTTCTGAAATTATTATGTCTATTTAAAAAATAGAAAATTAATATTTTCTTTTTATAATAATAAAATATTAAAAAAACAATAGCATTTTAAAAATAATGGATTTTTATTTTTTATTTTATTGCATTTTTTTGCGGCTGATTGATTTCTTATTGCGCAGTAAACTTTTTTTTTTTAATTCGATATGAAAGTTTGGTTAATAATAGCCACAGCTAGAATTTTCTTTAAGCGAAAACAATCATGTTTATACTAAAAAGTGTTACAATACATTGTCAGGGTAATGCTTTAAAAAAGAGGATAGAGTTACGTAAACATTACATAATGATCTCGTAACGATTTAATTTTTTTTTTTTTTTTGAATATTCAAACTCTCTGTTCCCACCTGTTCGTTATTAATTAATTTAACTTACTATTTGGAACGTCCATAAACTCAGAAATGACTTCTTAAATTTAATTCAAATTGTAACAGAGTAAAAAAAATGTTATTATGAAAATTTCCGGTTTTTAAAATCAAGTATTTAAAAATATTTATTAATAAAATGATGAAGACTTGGTGATAAAGACAAAAAAAAAAAAAAAAAAAAGAAACAGTTCAATGCTTAGGAAAATTGGTGAAAGAATTGCATCATTCAACGTAATATTCAGTTTCCTCACAGAGGAAAGAGACTCGAATCGACGAGTGATGCCCTTCTCTTCTATCGATGAAAGAATACAATGGACAACATGTGAGCAAGGAGGAAGTCTTAAAGTGAAAATAAAAACAATAAGGAAACCTATATTTACAATCAGAAAGTGAGAGATTTAATTTGTTTGACAAAATGAGGAAAGAGAGTAAAACTCACAAGATAATTATGAACTCAAGAGAAGCAGGTGAAAACTGCGAGTAATCTACCTAGCGAATTTGTGTAAAAATGGATGACAGGACAAAGAGGAAATATAAAGGGTAAAAAATTACTTAGAACAAGAGGTTAAGGAGAGTAACATTTTATTTTTAATTATATATCATGTCTATATTAATTGCACTCCAGACAGTCCTTTTTTAGTTAGATATCTATGTCCATGTGTTATTAATTTTCGACTAAAATCTGAAATAACATTTTTTCTTTATTTTCTGTCAATATGTGAGATGATATTCATCATCTTTTATGAAGATGACAAACATGGCTTCAACTGTTTTCTGTCATAAATAAAATTACTTCATTTGTAATGAAGACACCATTATTGGTGAGATCATCAGATTTCTCATTGTATTCCAGAATAAACTACTCAGCTTTCATCAGCATTACGATTTTTCTTTTGTTTCAGCTTCAATCAAGGTGTTAATGTAATGATAACATTATACTTAACAAAATTGAAAAATTTCCACTCAACACAAAGAATTAAACATAAAATTTTTTTGACACTCTTAATAATAAATACTTATTTGGAGTTGTCATTCTATTTTATTCATATTTTAAAGTTGAGATCAAATTTGAATTTCTTGATCTCTGTGCATTAGAATGTAGCTGGTAAAGTGTTACAGATCTACTGCTCGTTGGACTAAAAGCAGAAGCAAACAAATTTACACATGTAAATGACAGGTTTTAAATGTAGCAGTGAAAGGAAATGCAATAAATTTCAACAAGGCAATATTTTCATGTGTTTTATATTTTTATATATATATATATATATATATATATATATATAATTTTATTTTTTTTTTTTAGATGTTTGTGTGCATGTGGTTAACTCATATAGCTGGAGGGTCAAGAATGAAAAAAATGAGAAGGAGGAAAAGGAAATAATTTTTTTTTTCTTTTTTCCTTTTCCTTCAGCAGATGATTTACGAATGAAAATGGGGATAAGTGTAAGCAGAATGTGATGTTTCAGTGTGTTTCTCTGTGCGTGCATGTGTGTATATGTCTCTGGGGGTGGGGATTAAATCAGTACTTAACCACTTCAAGCCTAGCACATCGCCATATTCCTGATCAGATAGAAATTGTGGCTGTGTTTGCTCCCTTTTTTATGGAAGAGCACACATTGCTGGTGAACCAGAAGTCATCCAAAATTGGACAATAAATTGCCAAGAAGAGTTGTATGGTGTGTACTTCAGTAGATGGGAAAATTGTAGCAGACGGAAGATACACAAGTTTTTACCCAATCAGTATCTGTTGGGTCACTGTGAAGAGGAGGTATGATGTTGAAAGACCCAAAACCTCTAATGAACCTCGGCTAGAAACATCACTGTGATGTGTACTAAAGCATCCAATAGATGTATTTTATGACATGGAACTCTGAAGAATTCAGTGACGTCTAGGAAAAGACTAGATGATGACCAGAGAACAGTTTGGGTGACAACTGGAGAGACAGTTGACAAGATGGCGAAACCTGCAAAAAAGGAAGATTTCCTGGACAGATCTCTGGTATACCAATCCATGTAATACAAGCTTCTTTGTGTAGGCAGTGTATGATACATTGTCCAGTCTGGCAAACCTCCACATGTGGGGAAAGAGTGAGTCTCCACTTTGTCCATTGTGCCAGAAGAGAGGATCCCTCCATGATATATTAAGTAGTTTTCCCAAGGAACTTAGTGAGGGGAGGTACCAGTGGCACCATGATAAAGTTTTAGGAGTCCTTGCAACAATAGTATCAAGGAATCTAAAACAAAACAGATATGAACCAAATAAGAAGACGATGAATTTTGTCAGAGCCAGGGGGAAAAGACATTGCAGAAGAAGAAAACATCCCTCCTTAGCTATGCCCTGAACTGGCTATTGAAAGTATATATAAGCAAGCAGCTTAAATTTCCAGTGGGAATAATACAAACTAAGCTTCATCCAGACATAGTTATTTATTTTGAAAAGACCAAGCAAATCATCATGTTAGAATTAAGAGTCCCTTGGGAAGAAAATATGGACGAAGCCCATGAAAAGAAGCTTGGGAAATATTTAATTTTTAAACCCCTAATGAACTTTGGCTAGAAACATCACTAATGATGTGTACTAAAGCATCCAATAGATGTAATTTATGAAAGGATAATAAATTATTAATAAGAAATAAATTATATTTGTATGCATGTAAGAGTAGCTGAAAAGAAAGGAATGGCATCAAAATCTACTATCAGGAATTTTGTGTGTGCATGAGAGAGTTCAGTCACCTGGAGAAGGGTATCCCCAGGCTGGGAACAATTCCCGTGTTGGTGAAAAAAATGAAAAAAGAGGAAGAAACAGGAAATGTCCTATTTTTATAGTTCCCAAAACAGTGACAACTACAGCATCTTGGCAAACAAAGTCAGAGTAATCCCACAAAGGACAGTCATAGGACTGAACCACGTTATTGTTTTTTTTTGTTTTTTTTTTAACTTTTTTATCTAGAAAAACTATATTTTTAGTTTTAGTTTTGGGTGTTAAAAAAAAATAATTTCATTAATTTCTGAATAAATCCTGAAAATTCAATTAAAATCCAATGATTATTTTTTTATTTTAATGAATTTCCAAATCTGTGTGTTTTTCACCCCCCCAAAACACGCAAATTTCAAATTTCCTGTACAAATTCAAAGCCCTCTGTTGATGCCAGACAAAAAAAGATTTTGTAATAAAAATTTCTAAGGTCCTAAAAAAAGATAAAAAAAATTTTACATCAAAAAATCCTTTAATCTTTCCTCTTAATAAAAATTTGTTTTTAGTTTTGGGCATTTTTTTTGTCATTTATCCTCCTTTGTTTAGCAAATTTTTGGAGGTACCTACTTTAAAAGTATGAAAAATAAAATGAAGATTATAAATCTTATTGCTGCAAGAATTCACATTTTTATTTAAAATAAGTGATCTGTTACTGTGTAACCTCAGCATATCTGTCATCACAACTTGTAACCACAACTTTTTTAAAATAAAATCTATCTAGTTTGGGTCTGTATGATTAAAAGCAATAATAATGTTGTGGATGATTTTGATATATTTTTTAAAATCTTGGAATATTAATTTGGGGTGGGGGAATTTTCAAATAAAAACATTTCACTCAGGCTATAATTAATCTAACTCTTTCTCTCTCTCTCTTTTTTTTTTTAATTTCAGTCATTCCTTTGCCACAAATCTCTAAATTGAATGACATCTTTTTTTTTTTTTTTTTTAATTAATTCACTCCAAGCAAAGCTATAAAGCCACTAAGGTGTAAGAGTGTGAAAGAGTGAGAGAAAATAAAACATTATTATGAAGAGAGAACTATAAAAGAATAGTAATTAAGAAGACAGAAGATACCTATTGACATTGCATTAATATTTTCAAGATCAAAGTTGACTGGTAAGCAATAGGTGGAAGAGTTCCACAAGCAAGAAGTGTAAGAGAAGAAACTGCAAGCATAGAACTTATGGTTACATCTAGCCATTTCAACTGTAAAATGATGAGACCTAGTTGCTGCACTTAAATTTGTAAAGTCTAGGTACCAAAAAAGAAAGCTTATGAAAGCCATTACCATGAAAATATTTATAGAAAAGGCAGAGGGTAAGTGACTGAAGCTGAGATGCTAGATCAGGACTTATAACATTGCAAATTCTTCTTTGGATTATATCTAAAATCACTAAATGCATAGCAGAAGCTTTAGACCAAATGTGATAGCAGTATTCACTGCATGGGTGGGTGTTAGACTTATAAATAAATGATATATCTAAATCACATTTTAGAAAAATATAATTAATAAGTTAAATATTAGTATTAGTCAATGTAGCTTCCTTCATGAACACAACAGATCTAAACTAATAATGAATCTATAAATACTTTCTTGGTTTTGATAGATTTTGCCAAAGTGAATTAATTTTTAATAATTGCTTTGCTTTTAATTGAACCATAAACAAACAATTTATGATAAAATATCCTATATATGTGTAGTTTGAAAATTATAACTCTATTAAATATGTATATTGTTTTCATTTTGTTTTTCTTCTTTAGGGATCCTTTCTCCACTGGACCATTTTCAAGAGATGATCTGTATGGAGAAAATGGCTATGAAGACAATGGTATTGATTCCATTTTCCAATACTTTCATTCTGACATGCAACAACACCTGGAAGAAATACAGCAACAAATGGAAGACATGGCAAAAAGTTTTGGGACTGTAGAATTTTCAAATAGTTAGTAAACATTCTTCATCTCTTTCTGTATATTTGCATTTGTAGCCAAGCAGCTTAAGTAATTGTGACTAAAAAGATAATAGCATTAGCATTTTCTCTTACATTTTTCTTTCTTCCTTGCTGTTAGTCTAATATAAATTATCTTCAAAGTTGTATGTTGGGAAATGATTTGTTAAGGAGTATATATTCTAAGTAACATTACGAAACTTAATTATCTGCCCTTGAATCTGTTATAATTTATGCACATGTCAAAGGGTAAGAAATGCAGCTGTGTGTGTGAAATAAGTCACATTGCCAGTTGAAGCCAGTTCATCAGAACATTACCACATGTACTCCAGCCTTCTTTTTTCCTCTCTGATATGGTTGAAGGCCAAATCACAAATACAAGGCACAACCAAGTCAACTTATCAAAACCTTTATTGACATTATCTTCTTTTTTTCCGTACCTGTTAATGTGTATTTATTTTGCCTGAACAAAATATTGTTACATTCAAGTTTTGTAAATATATTGATAGTGTTTTCTTTCATTATATATATATATATATATATATATATATATATATATATATATATATATATAAAAATTACCCTTGTCTGTTTTCAGTCATGAACAAAGTCTTATCATATTGTGGATATACTAAGGTAGAATTTATCTCTACCAGCTATTCCAATAATGATTTAATATGCAAGGTGATTTAACAACTGGATAATAAGGAGAGTGTTCCAATAATGCACTAATAAGGAAAATTATTTAATAAAAGCTTGTTAAAAATGCATGAATTGTAAACTAATCAGATTAAACAATAAAAATACTGATAAGAAAAAAATTGTCTGTTTTGGTTTTGAGTTTTACTATAGGATAGTTATAATTCATAATGAACCCCGCCTACCTTACAGAAATATACATGTGGTGGGGGTGGCTGCTTGGAATGAGAAATCTGAGAGCCAAGTTCAAAATCCAGTGGTGTTCATTATATTCACTTATGTGCAAATTCCTTTGAAAAAGGTATGGATATCTCCTCCCAGCTATGGGTTAATTAACAGGACTTGTATATGGAAAATTCATTGTTATTTGCAAAAAGTTATTAATACAATATTCACTGGGTGGGGAAAAAGTTCTTACAATCCAAAATATCTTTTCATTTTTAAATGACCCAAAAATTGGTTGATAAGCCATAAAAAATAAATCAACCTACCTACCTTACACATTTGAGTCATCAATCTAGTGCTCTATCATTTCTGTATCTTGATCCTACAATCCACCTTATAATATTAAGTTATTAGGGGTTGATTTTTCTCCATAATTAAAATAGTCAATGAAAATGTATTCATATCAGTTAATATTTTTGTAAGAATATATTTAGAAAATTTATTTTTCATATAGAGAATAAAATGCTCAGCATTAAGGGATTCAGTTTGAGATAGGAATGATCTATTTTAGTTTTTTCTTTCTAATAAATATTTCTTACTGAACCTTGACTTACAATTCTATAAAAATACCTTAACAGGCAGGATAAACTCAAAGAATCTATTGTTCAGAAATTTGTGTGTGTTTCCCTTCTTGAGTTTTCAAAAAGAGGTATTTTTCTGTTAATTATTTTAAGGAAGAAAGAGAATTCTCTCCATTTGAGTCCTAAACAAAACTTTACTTTCATCTCTGGTATCTTACTTTCTCCAAATACAGTGAAAAGCAACTTGTCTTTTCTTTTCTAGCTAGGTAAATATGAAGCAAATAAGTTACTTAATATTTAACTCTTTAAGGTTGGGAACATCTGAATGTGCCCACAAGTTTCACAGTCCAGGAATACCAGAATGTACCTGCAATCAGGTAGCACTGTATTTCAATTTGCAGCATTAATATCCATTACATGATTGACTAGAGGTAACAGAAATTTACAACTTTTTGAAAGTCTCCAACTTTTACAAAGTTGTAGATTTCCAAAACCATATCTCATAACCAGTAATACCAAGGAGGCTAAATTTAATATCATTTGAAAGAGAAAATGGCACAACTTGAATAGATTGGTTCACTCATAAAAAATAATGAAAACTTTTTAAGGAAATAATATTTGTAGATGAGTATTCTTTAGATCTTCTTTAGGCTGTGACACTTGTCAGAATTTAAAAATATGGATTTGTTATCAGTTTAGAATTTGGGGTACTGTTTATAATATCAATAGTGTCAAATTGATCCCTGACTTTTACAGAGTTATTGGCCTTAAGCTAAGTCAGCTGTTATTTACAAAAGTCATGTTTGAATGAAACTACGCTAACATCATTGGTATCTGCAGATTTTTTAATTTTACTGAATTTTTTTTAATGTTGAAAAAAAAGGATTTTTTTCAGGTGCATACACAAAGACTTGATGTTTATAATTATTTATCTTAAATGAATTAGAAACTGATATATAATCTTATTAATTTACATAAACTTTGTTCTTTAATTACACATGTATATATCTGTCCATAATTTAAAAAAACTTTTTGAAACCACCCACATCAAAAAACGTTTGTTTTCCTACACAAAACCTGCTAAGACTAAAATAACTCTGTAAAAGTCAGGGATCAATTTGATACTATTGATATTATAAGAAAGCTTCCCTTTCTAAATCAATAACAAATTCCTATTTTTCAATTCTGACAAGTGTTGTGACCTAAGAAAGATTTAAACATTGCTAATCTATAAAAATAATTTCCTTAAAAAGTTTTCCATATTTTTTATGAGTGGACCAAACTATTTAAGTAGTGCCAAGAAATCAATTTATTTACATATTGAATCAACTTGTAATACAGTGTGCAGCAGAAATACCTCCCATATAATGATAAGACATTAGCTAGATGAAGACACCATTGCCACTAATGTCTTACCATTATGTGGGAGATATTTCTACCACAACCTCTGTGTTTTTTTAGATATATCAATTGCATTCATATTCAGATTTTTCAACAATTCCATCAGGACTGCAGAGTCTTAAAAATTTAAATCTCTTAAGAGCTGATAGGATTAAAAAGCTCCAAGAGTATAAAGGATTCGATACCTACCTGCTTAATTTTTGAATGTTTTAAATCCATTCAATCACTAGTCTGTAATGCAATTTGTTTTTTCTAAGTAAATAATATTTGTTTTATGTATAGTTTAAGTTCTCTTTTTCTCTCCTATTCATAGGAATGTACTTGTGGTCATGTGTGAGTGACTGTAATGTTATTTTATACAAATATTTTCCTAAAAAGCATTGCCATCAATTTTATTGCAAGTTATATTGATGACTTTATTTTGATCTTGGGGTGATATAATGGAACTTAGTAAGAAAGAAAAGGAATATATTTGACTACAATATAAATAAATAAATAACAATGTTTGGTCATTTCAGAACTATCTTTGCAGGTATAAGCAATGTGAGTTTCTGATTCTCTTCATTGGGGAAAAAGGTGCAAAAATACCTCAAATAAAATGAAATTGGAAGAAGGAAAATTCTTGTACAGAGTTTCAAATTTACTTCTGACATTTCAATTTTTCTGTCAACTTTTACCACCTTTTCTCAGAAATTTGAGCATTTTACTTTATTGCTTATTCTAGAAAAAGAAATAAAATACCTAATTCTTGCATAAAGCAGTTTCATCTTAAAAAATTACTGCACAACATTTAATAATTTAATTAATAACATTCACATACATACACTTGACAAAGACTGGAGAATTGATAATCTAAAATATTGTGGTAAAATTAAGAACAGAATGGAGTTCAGTTTCCCAAATAAAATTTGGAATGTTGATTACTCAAAGTTATAGACAATTAATATTCATTGAGTTTTTTTCCCCCTCCCCCATAAAAATATGATTGTACTCTGAAACAAGATAAATATTTATAATTAGTGATTGCCTTTTACTTATGACATTTGCCATTTGGTCAAAATTCTTATTTCATTCAAATATGTATATATTTTTCAGTCCCTCGGGTGGAATTTCCTGATTCTCCTAGTCGTAATGCTAATTTACGAGATGAAATGTTAAAAACTCCAGAAACACCACCCGTGAGGCCCCAAATCCCTTCACAGCCACCGGCTGTAAATACACCCTCTTCTGGACAGCAAGACAAATCTTTTGTGAGTATATAACTTACAATCACAGTCAAAAATATATTGACATTCATTGGGATTCTTTGAAAAATGTATGATCATTGACTGAAATGTTTTGAGAATTATAGATATGTAATTATTTCATGGCTTTTTTTTTATTTTTGCAATAGTGATATTTTTAATAATTGCTTAGTTATTTGTAATTAATCTCCAATAAAATGTTTCCCAAAATTGTAATGTGTCTGTAAAACCTCTTGTTTGAAAGAATCACCCATTAAAACACTTTAATTTATTCTGCTATATTTAAAATTATTACAGTTAATTATTCTGTACCTGTACTGTGATATCTTGAGAATTACTAAAAATAGAAAAAATTCAAGAAAATGTTCATAATTTTCAAGAGTAAAAAATAACATAAAAAATCCAAATAAATTCTATACATAACCTTACTAGCAATATGTTAATTTTACTTATTTATTTTTCAATCTGTACTTTTCATATAATTTTTAACAATTTTTGGGTTCATAAAATTAAACAGATTTTATCTGAGTTGGAAAGCAAAAAACAAAAAATAACTGAAAACTTCTTTTGGCTGCCACACTCACTTTGGATTTTTAGATGTTAAAAAAAAATAAACATCAATAATCATTAATAAGTACTGATGTTAAAAATTTAATTTTGTGGTTTTTATTTCTGACTTTTGCACTAAATAATTTTAATTCCTGTATTTTACTTTTCTTTTATTTTTCTTACATACAGTTTGGAGGATTTGGTTTACCCAGATTAAGTCCTTTCTCTAGTCACACAAATGAACCGAAAGTAGATCAAGGTAAGTCAATCACTGCTGTGCAACATCAACTACAAAAATTTTTATTTTTATTTCTTACTTCAGTTTCTATGGCTCCCAAGATTTACTAAGTTTAGATTAGTCTAGCTTGGGGCTACAAGATCCAGCCAAGAATTGAATTTGCCATACAAACAATCTAGAAAAGACTACATTGTTAACCATTAGCATGCACCTAATTTCCACATCTTTCAGTTTCTATCAAGTAAGAAAAGTAAAAGATAGAAACAAATGAGATTTGATTGCTATTCTGATTTTAAAAACTAACATTATTACATACATTTATGAAGAATAATCTGACATTAATAAAAGTATTTATCAGCTCCACTTTTGAGCATTGCATACTTGTGGACTTCAGTCAACCCACAACAAAGAAAAAGGCGAGAAAGGTTTTTGAATATAAAATATTTTTATTTTCATTTTTTTACAATTAAATTTTTCTCAACATGTATGAGTGTTAAAGTTCTTTGTTTGTAAAGATGAAAAGAAATGTGATTTCTTTGTGTGTATTTGTGAAAAAGAGAGCCAAAGGATAATGTGAGGAGGAAAGTGTATATGTCACTTTGCTTAGTGAGGAGGATGTGTGAATGAGTAAGGTAATCTCTTTTAAGCCATGTTGGGAACAGTTGCCATCTGTTGCTGTTCTTTACTCCTTACTGCTTTTGTCTATCTAAAGATTCTGTTTAAATACTCTTCAAAGGGATCATAATGCATGTTTTTTTTATTGTTGGCAAGAATGCAACCCATTGGTTGGAAAATGTTAAATATTTCTTTTCAAAGGATTAATTTATTAACCAGAATAATGTGGAAATCCTCTGTCTCTGAAAGCATTTTTTTTGTCATTTGATGATTGACTGTTTTGGTGTATATTTCTGTCTTTGCTCCACATACTCTTCTTCTTCTCAGTCTGTAAAGGGTCTTTTGTTGGACATAGGCCTTCCCCAGATTTTGTTCATTGGAAAGAATGGGCCATTACCCTGCCATGCTAGCCCAATGTGGATGTGACAAGATTGGGCAATAATTTCTCACTCATGGGTATTTGAACATAATGTAACAATAAACCTGATTGGAATTCAAACTCTGCTCTCCAAGCCATTATCCACTACACCACCTGTACATCACATCTAAGCTTACAGTAACTATTATTCCTAAGTGGTCACCTATGTAGGATCAATGTTGTTTAACTTTAGAGATTGGACAAAAACCGGTATCTCCATATGATATGGCCGTAATCTTAGTATTGCACCCAACCTTTGTTTTTTTTTTCTTAATGAATGATTGTGATTCATTTTCAGATCTTGATGGAAGAGGAGCAGATGTTTTGAAGGATCTAGAAAGTTCTCAATGTAGAAAATGCCCATCACAAAAAGACATGCCTTTAACCTCGTTCTTCAGTGGGCAAAGTGTTACTGTACGAAGTGTCCAAGGCTCTGATGGAGTAAGTGCCATTTTATAGACATTTTTTTAGAAAGCATTTGATTTAGATTTGTAATATTTAATTGTTCAATTTTAGTCAGTATAACTTTACTGGTTATATTAATTATTTCAATTTGTACAAATTGTTTAACTCATGTTAACAACTAATATTTATTTCTTTTCTTTTTTTTTTTTTTTTTAACTTTCATAAATAGTTTTTCTTTGGTGGCATTGATTTTTAATTTCCTGCTATTCATACACATTTTATTTTTTCTTTGCTAGCCTTTTGGACTTTGATTCAGACAGAACCTCTTATGAATACACCCTTATGTTGATTGATTTATTTTTTTTATGGCTTGTCAACTTTTTGAAGGTTATTTAAAACCAGAAAATATTTTAAATTGTAAGGTTTTTTTTTAGATAATGATTTACTGATACAAGTCTTACTAATTAACCCATAACTGGAGGGAGACCAGGTGGATTCATACTTTTCCCAATAGTATTTGCACATGAACGAGCATAATGAACCCAACTGGAATTGGAACTCTGCTCTTCAATTTTCAATTCTGACCAGTTATGTATTACACTTCCTACACATCCAAGCTTACAGCACCTGATATTCCCAAGCAGTCACCCACCTAGGTACTGATCATACTCGACATTGTTTAACCTGGTGATTGTACAAGAACTGGTGTCTCAATGTGATATGGCTGTAAGCCCTCCTTATGATGATATTAGATAAAGTCATGACTTGACCTGAAAAAAAAGTGAATTTACTAATGGGTAAAAATGTTAATCTCTATGAATTGTGTATATAAAATGTTTTACTTGAAATCAATAAATGCTCTTCAGCCATCTTTCATTACCAAGATCCAAGAGAGAAACACCAAACATGTCGATATAAACTTTCTTTACTGGAGGCAGTATTTTGGAAAAGAAGACATTCAATCATTTCTTTGACATCTTGATATTTGAAATTGTTAAGTATTGTCTCAAAAAAAAATAAATTCACCCAATAGAAGGCTTGAGAGCCACTCATGGTAGAAGGTTACTGTTAAAAATGAAATGAAAAGTGTTAGGAAGTGAAGGATAAGGAGGACAGATAATGATTGACCTTTGACTTGATTTAGTATAATAAAGAATAGATGTAAGCTGGATAAGGGCATTAATTTCAGCAAACAAATTGGTCTCTGAGGTGACTCAGAAAATGATCAGTGACTTGAAGTTCTGTCTCTATTATCACCTTCAAAGATATTGTAATGGTGGAAGCTTACTGTTAAAAAAAGAAAAGTGGAGTGATAAAACAACAAATGGAGATAAGACAAGGTTGAGATAAGTAAAAGTTTTTATTTCCCCATAATTTACAAGGTTTAATCATTTCTCCATTCAGGGATATTGTATATCAGTCATGGGAGACTGAGAGTTCATTTGAAATATAACACAAGTTGAGATATGTGCAAAAAATCACCACACACGTTATTGAGTGTATTAGACTTGTGGGAGAAATGTTATATGAATTATTGCATTGCAATAGTCAAGAGTCTCTGCTGCTGCAGTTTCATCTCTGGCTGAAGATATTGCTGTTGATGGAAGTGCTTTGGTGTTGCTGTTGTTAACCTGGGCTGTCATATAGTCCGTCATGTTCGTTTAAGCCTGCCTATCTGGAGTCTTTTGCTAATGCCAGCTGAGTTGATTCTACCTTCATGGGTGCAATCAGTGTTGGCTTTATAGTAAGTTGGTGGCTCAGATATGGCTGTTGTGAAAATCACATGGGCCTTTTCTGATTGGTCAGAAAAGATGTTTTATGACCCCTGGTATTTTGGGGTAGTATTTTGGAAGTGCATGCACAGAGCTGAACGAAATTAAGGCCTGTTTTTGTCATATGAGCTGTGGATGTCAAAATGAGCTCTTCTGTTCAGGTTAAATAATTGGAGTTCCCAAAATATAACCTTTTAAACTTGTGTAATTTTTTTTTTTCAGAAAATGGAGCAATGGCGCACAGTTCAAGACTCATCAGGTAATAAAGAGGAAACTTGCACCCGATACATTGATGGTAAGATGCACACAGTAACATGTAAGATTGATGACAAAGGAAATGAAGAAAGAATTGAAGAATTTAAAAATATGGATGAATGTAAGTATATCTTCTTTTCTACCTTTTCAGTCTTCTTGTATTTGATGCTAAGTAAATTGTATATATTTACTAAGCTTACGATAGTAGAACCTGAGTTTATTTCCTAGGTTTTGTTCAACAAAAAACATAACAATTATGTGTAAAGCCTTTCAGTAAGAAACTAAAATCCTGACTTCACATAAGAAAGCGGTAAAGTATTTGTTGGTCATAATCCTGCACTTGAATAACCGGAAATATCATTACAATATGGAAAGAAAATTAACACCTTCTCCTTTGTTAAATAAAATCAATATAAAAATAAAAAAAGGACATAAAATTTTAGATTTGTATCTACTTAAGTTCAGATATTTAGGTGGATTGCATACCCACTTGGGTTGATGTTATCAGAAAAATGAGTATCTCTTGTATGAGAAATTATTGACTCTCTCACAAAAGCAATAGATTCAGCTTTATTCTGCGCTGCGATTTGGTTGGAATCCTTGTCAGATGATATTGTTATCTGATACAAAGTGTGCATTAAATATAATGCATCCTGTAGGACAAGCTTTAATGAGTCATAGGCAAATGTTTTTTTGTTTTTTTTAATCAATTCACCTTAAGCAAGGTTATAATGCCACTAAGATGCAAGGGGCTACTGGGAGTGAAAGAGAATGAGAAGACTTTAGAAGGAACTGAAAACCCAATTCTAAACAGAAAACAATAGATTAATTTCTACTCCTCTCCAAAAGACTGGGGAAAAGTATGAACTGGATGTTAAGCAAATCTATCTAATTCTATTGAGGAAAAAATAAATAGTAAATAAAATTTCAGAGTTTAGAAGTATGAAGCTGAAGTAGAGTTTAGAAGGATCTGGAAAGCCAATCCTAAACAGGAAATAAGGGATAAACTTCTATCCTTGTTCAAAAGACTGGGGGGGAGTGTGAACCGTATGATAGGTGAATCTAGCTGTTCCTATCAAATGAGTGTAAGGATTATAATTTTATTATACCATTCATACTATACAGTAGAGCTTAAGAGGTCAACCACTAGTAGAAATTCCATGTCTATGCAAAAAGTTAACCTGAATGAAGTACCACTACTCATACAAATGGCAGCATGCCAAAGATAGTAAATAACTTGCTGAAACACGCGATTACTGTTTGAAACATCATATCTGGATAAGTGAAGAGAATGTGAGAGAACTCATCTATTATAGTAAGTATTAGTCAAAGTTGATAGCAAGGGGTCTTTTAAAATCAACACTAAATCTCTCAAATAGTACAGTTGCTTTGATCAAATGTGATGCACAATGTCAATGAGATTAATTGGAACTCATCACAAGTGAGGTTTGTGTTCAAAACTTGTTTTACATCTTCAACTGAAATGGTAGGTTTCTTGTTTTAACAAAGTGTAAGCATTCATGTAACACCTGGATGACAAAGAGAATTGCAACTAATAAATCAGAACCAATAATAGAGCAGTATGCCATAGGCAAAGCAGCTGCAGTAATGTTATCCCTCCTGGGTAGATATTTCATTAAGACCTTAGCAAGCAATTTCTATCCCTGACTTTTTTTTTTTTTTCAATTCTGTCTTAATTTAACTAGGTTGCTTAAGTCAAATATGAATGTCACTGATTTCTGATCAGTAAACAGGCAGTATCCGATAAGTATTTGAGTTACTGATATTCAGGATTATAATTATTCCTACAAGTGTGGCTGTGTAATTAATTATCAAGATTATGTTTGGAACATTCCTAACCCACAGTTCTTTTAGGGGATCAGTTACCTTGTATTACAGTAAATACCAGAAGGTGAAAAGCTAGTCTAGGCATATTTAAATACACACACACATTTCAATGCATAATTATTTGTCTATTAATAAATGTATATTGAAGTAAGCATACATATTTTTTTATATATTTTTATTTTGTTTTTTTCTGGCTAAATTTTTTATCTCTCCTAAGTATTGAGTAACCTCTTTTGTTTTCTTTATCATATGTTTAACTATTCCACTATACTCAATAGGAAAAAGCATTCTTGTTGGCTGTATTTTTACATTTATTTGAACATGTTTTGCAAATTTAAAACAAGAAACTTTCAAGATTTGAGTCAAGATTTTTTACTGATTACTGAATTCAAAATATCCATGGAAAATGGCCAAACATTTCAGTTATTATGTTCTTTAATTAAAACAATAATTATATGAGTTTAAATAATCTGTAGAATAATGACAATATTTTATCTCATGGTGCTGAACAATTTGTAAAAATTCACATTTAATGCCCTTGATTGGTTTCTGTTGAGATTTGAGACAATATTTCATACATTCAAAATATTGTATGTTGTAAAGTGATAACTATCCCTAGTATCAAATTATTACCACACATTTAAGAAGGCAGACCCACCTAAAATTATTTTGCAATTAATTTCATAATTATAAACCCTGTTATCAGCTCTATGAATTAATGTCATATTTTAATGACTGCTAAAAAGATACATTTGGAATTAAACTTTGTATCTCCCCTTTATCATGGAGCAAAATTTGTATATGACAGTCTAATTAAACACAAAATCATATATCTTTTCCATTCTAAGATGTGCCCCCACTGCCTTTTTGGTTTCAAAGAAGGTTTGTTTGTAACAGACACTTTGATTTCTCTCTGCTCCGTATTCTTCTGTTAACGATCAGAAACCTTTCTAAATCTGGATTCAGCTTGTAGCCTTATTAATTCTGTCTCGATCCACTCCAGAATTGTCATTTTAAAATAACAAAATCTATTATTTATTCTCATGTGGAGTAATCTAACAAATTTATAATCCTTTTAGGAGAAAAGGAAACAAAAAATACATTGTAAAAATATTCACTTAATGAAAAGAATATTTTTGTAGACATTAGGAGAAATTAGTTATTCAAATGATAGATATGCTGCCTTGAGTTGAAGTTCAAAATCTGTTCAGTATGAGTGTACAGGGTGCGATGGATAAATTATTGTCTAAATTGTGCAAAAATGAAAACAACACTGACATCTCATTTTAACAGATATATTTACCAAAATTACACAATATCTTGAAATACTAAAGAGTAAATTTATTGAATAAAATCGTTATTGGCTTCAACCATGGCCTCCAGACGAATTTGGGATCTCCTGCAACTCTTCTGGATGGTCTTCTTGTTTAAGTTGGTGAATGCTGCCATAATTCTTGCCTTCAGTTCATCTTTGGTGTTATAAAGAGTTTTGTTGGTTTCTCACTCAACTGTGCCCCACACATAATAATCAAGGGGGTTGAAGTATGATGGCCAGGTGTAAGGGGGTGATGCACTTACATAAATTGTCTGACAGCCATGACTGGGTTCTTCTGCTTTTGTGTCATGGTGCAAAGTCCTGTTACCAGGCATTGGGTCTTACAGCAGTCACCCTCTTGACCCAGGGCAATACTACCTCCTCAAAGCACTTGATATAGGCCTCTGTGTTGAGTCTGAGGCCCTCACCAACAAATTTAGGAGTTCTTTTCTTATCAGAACGATCACAGTATGTTTTCCAAGCTGCTGTATCTTTGTAATCACCATTAGACTTATCCAACTCTTTCCAAATCCTCTGCACTCTCCTCAGATTGACACCCAAACACTCTGAAATGTTCATATTGGAGCTTCTGGCACAAATGCCAAACAGTATAGCATGCCATTTCCAAATTTCTGGTGGAGTGAAGCATGGTGCCCTTTTTTCTCACAAACAGCGTCCAACTGACCCTACTGTACTGTGCAGTCTATAAACCAAAAACAATCACTGTGCATGTACCAAATTGAAAAATGTAAAATGGCGACAATTTATCCATCGCACCCTGTAATATATTTATTTTGCCTCTTTTTACTAAAGGAGAAACAAAATAATTTAGTGCTAAATATGTGCTTTTTATAAAGAAAAATTCTATTGGGCTTAGTTTTATTATGATCTTACCTAATAAGATTAAGTGCTGAACAAATTGTTACAACTAGAATTAAGGATATTTCTGCATTGTCTATGAACTCCTCACAAACTAATGATTATTTGTTGGTTCCAATTCCTAGTGGAATGACTGCAAAACACTTTCTCCTCCCTAATTTATAGGCAGAAGCACACAAATGTGTGCTGGGATTTCTTCTTAGCCAATAAAATAGGCCAGTTCCCCGGTTTCATATGACCCAGTCCTGGTCTGTCTTGCCTTGAAGTCAGAACACTACATTCATTTATCAGAATTTGTTTTTGTCACAACCCCGATTCTTAGTTTATGTACATTTTTCCATATTACTGTTAATTTACCTTGCATATTTTGTTTGCTTGCTTTATATTATTTCTTGCCCTGTTCTTTGTTTTTATTTTTATTGCTTATTATGAACTTTGTTAATTCTGTTTGTTGGACAATTCTCATTTATTTACATTTAACTGGGTACTTGCACAAAATCACTAAAAAATTAGCATACCATGATGAAAACTTGCTCTAAATGTAATGGGAACATAGTTTTAGTGTCAAAATCTTTGTTATTATTAAGTGGAAGGACCAAAGTATTTTTTGATTATTTAATTATATTTTTTACTCCTTTTTAGACCATTCAAAATTTTAATTAAAAAACTTGTTTTTTCTTGCATCAGCAGTTGCACTAACTTTTAGCATAGTAAATTGTAGCCCTTTTTTTTCTTTTGTGGTGACAAACACATCAATTTGGAAATTCTTGCAAAAATCAAAAAATTGTCAGATATTAATTAAATTTCAGAACTTATTCACAAATGAATGAAAATTATTTGTGAAACATTTTTTTTAGAAAATCTTGGTAAAAATATATTTTTTTTTTTACACGTGTTCCAGCCCCTTACTTAATTTTATGAAAACTTGAGAAATTCAATGTGATATATTAGTTAAAAGCAGAATTCCTTGAAAAATTTAAATCACCAAATTTTTTTTTTGCAAAATTGAACCCCGTCTTACCAAAACTCTGTTCTGAATTGAAAAATAAAAACCACAATAAAACTATGACATTACTTGATTAGAGAAGCTTTTAATTGCTTTTATGAATAATATATATTGAAGACAATATTGTCTGAAGAAAAAAAATTCTGATGAAAAATGAATTTTTACAAGATTTGTTTTCATTACTTTAAATTAAATAATTTATAAAGTTTTTAAATCTTTTAAAATTCAGTTTATGAAATATTGTTATTAAGTAAAATTATTTACTAATCATATACTGTAAGGCTTATTGCAATCTGACAACCCTGAATATTTTGAAAAAGAATTTCAATTTGTTTTTGTATGTGTATATACATGGATATGGACTTACAAACCTAACATTATCGTCAAAGGATCACATGTTGTTCCCACCCCTGTTATGGAAAAACCATCATATAAACATTGTTTGCTCCATCATTCTTAACTATGAACATGTTCAGCAGTCATTCGGCTGTCAATAAATCGATTAACATGTCAGAAAAACAAGACCCTGTGGTTAGGAAATGCTTCTATACAACATTTTATGCTATAAGTAAGTAATATTTGTTTCAAATCAGATTAATTTAACTTTTAATTTTCCTGAAATAATGTTTCAGAAATATATATTTTATTTTAGCAAGATTTTTAAAACTAAGAATTAACGTTTGTTTACAAATGTGCCAAAATGGCCGTTTTTATCAATTTTACTTAAGAAAAAAAAAATCAATTCCAATCAATTTAATTTCTGTTTGCAATACAACACAGTATTTTCTTTACTGGAAATAGTAAATTTTAATTCCTTTAGTTTTCAATGAAAGCTTCAAGAAAGTTTTTCATTTTAAACCTTACATATACTGAATTAGTGGAGGTACCTACATTTTAAACATGACCACTCATAAAAAAATTATTTATATAACTGACATAACTTTTCAACTTTCTGATTATATTGTTTGATTACTGCATTGCAAAAAAAAGTATTATTTTAATAAATTTTAGTCACTTTGATGACTAACAAACTTCAAATGGTGCTGATCAAAATGTCAAAATATCAGAAAGGTTTTAGTTTCTGAATTTGTTTTCTATGAGCTCACAAGATATCAGACTTATCACTTCTGAATTAATGTTAAGATATGTGATTTTGGAGGGTGATTTTTTTTTTTTTTTTTACTTTTTAACCCTCCAAAAATTTTAATTTTTACTGTTAATTTCAGTTTTGTTTTGTTTAGAGATTATTCCTGGTTGAATCAAAAATTGAGAATCCTTGCTCCAGACTATGAAGTCTATATATAAACTTGATTAACCTGAGTATGATTTATTAGGTTTACATTTCTTACTAGATTAAGTAATCTATCTTTTTGTTGACAGAATATGATAAATTGAAACTCACAAAAAATGAAGGTACAGTTTTTAGCGATAATCAGAGATTAATTTAAAATTTACAGTCCAGGAATCATTACAGAAGACTTGATTATATTTATTGTTTTTTTTGGGTTTTTTTTTTAACGTATTGGCTTCTACTCACTTTTTTTTTTCTCTCTTTCAGCTGATTTGTCAGCATTTAACAAGACTTGGGACAAACCGAGTATAGATGCTGTTCAACCAGAGCATCCTGCTGAGAGCATGATGATGCCACAAACAAGACAGGATTCTTATCTGGGTAGCCTCTTCTCTAAACTATTTGGTTTCAAGCCCTGATCATCCAGCACAACAGTAACTCCAAAGAATTCAGATCCCCAAATTATTGTGATAAAAATGTTTATGTACAAATAACATTTTAAAGATTTATTGCCAAAACTCGGATTTTTTTTTTTTTTTTTTTTTTATAATTCTGGTGTAAATGATTATCTACTTCCAAGTAACAAATTACTAATGTCCATATATTTGTACATCTGTTGGTAATTAAGAAAATAAATAAAACAAGATTATCCAAAAGAAAAATTCCAGCTTTAATTGTCCAGCACTTTTGCAATCAATATCAAGTGGAGACTTTCCACAATCTAGATTCATATTGCTTGAAGATTTAGATACAGATTCTTAATTTTATATTTATATGATAAATTTAGGAATCTGTTTTGAAAAGTATTTAATACACATTTTATATTTGTGTGTGGGTGTGTGAGTGAATGAATGTATATAATATGTAGAATTTTTTTTTTTTTTTTTTAATCAAGTTTGCCCCAAGCAAGACAGTAACGACACTAAGACACATGAGGGTTACTGGTTATGAAAGAATTAGAAACAGAAACATTACTAAGGAGTCAGAACAAAAGAAGAGTAATCAGGAGGACAGTAGATAGTGATTGACATTGCGTTTAAATTTTTGGAGATTAAACTTGACTAGAAAGCATGGAGCCAAAAGTGAGTTCCACAAGCAAGAAGTACAAAAAGTAAACTTAGCATAGAACTTACAGTTACATCTAGCTAACTTAACTGTACTGTGCTTAAATTTATAAATTCTAGGTACCATAGCAAAGAACTCATTTATAGATAAGGCACAGAGGTAATTTTACAGTGGTGGGAGAGTGACTGAAGGTGAGACGCCAGATCAGGACCAATAATATTGCTGATTCTTCTTTGGATTTTATCAAGGATCTCTAAATATATATCAAGAGCACCAGACCATATGTGGCAACAATTTTCTAAGCCTGGATGAATGATAAATGTAAGATAGATTCTGGAGAGAAAAATTGTCTAGGACAACACAGTGAACTAACTTCCTTAGCAGTGACCTAGCAATAGATTCAATAATATAGTCTTTCCACTTCATGTCAATCAAGTACGTTAGCCCAAGAAGGTACAATAAGTCTCTCTCCTAACTCAAGGTTAGCATCAGTCATGCTGATGGAAGGCAGAAAAGGGTCTCTCAGATGATTTATAGAGTAGTTTAGTTTTGGAGACATTAAAATTAACAAGCCATTTTATTGCCTCCTGAACAGACTGAAGGCTGTTTTTGATCTTATTAAACTTATCAGACTTGCTATTGAGACTAGAGTAAATGGTTTTATTATCAGCATAGATACTAAGTTGAGAGTTGATGACATCAGGGAATGTCATTAAAAACAAAGTAGGACCAAGGATAGAGCCTTTTGTACAAAAGGATCTAGAAGAGTGGCCATTCATGATAACTTTCATTTCACAATTTGATAAGAAAGACTGGGTCAGTTTAAAAATTTGTCCCAAGACACTAACTTTTCAATTTGTGAAGAAGACCTGTATGCCAAACTCTGTTGAAATATATAATAAAAGGGCTTAAACACTATTAGTGTTTAAGCCTTTTTATTATATCCTGACTCTGTCCTGGATACTATCCTCTTGGAATTATTTTTTTTAGACAAATATATATTTAAATAAGTTTTTCGTGGTACAGAATTTAATAATAGATAGGAAAAGACAATATTTATAAGGCATTTTTAAAAGCAAAAGCTAAAATAAAAACAACCAGTTTCATCCCAGGACTTATCAAAAAAGCGTGTAAATTAATTTTTAATTAACAAATGTAATCAAATGGGGGGGGGGGAGAAAAAATTATGAATTTCAAGAAACTATAGTCCAATCATATTCAGACCCAGCAAGCATTCCCTCTGTTTACAAAGGGAAGGCTCACGAGATCTGATATACAAGGATTCTAGAACCTTGAGGTGAAATAATGTAGAGTGGGACCTAGATAAAATTATAAATCGGTCACCACTAAAAATTTTCCACACATTTCCTTCTATTTATTAAATGTTCAGCAATAGCAGAACCAGAACTGTTAGTCAGTTGGCTATTCCTGGAGGGAATAAGTATGTATATATATTTATATATTTTGCATATGTATGTGTATATTTACCACTAATATTATCTATCTATCTATCTATCTATATATATATATATATGTAAAAATCACTTTAAATGTTGTTTTTAGTGGATACTCATATTTGAGTAGACACTCTGTTTATTAAACAATATATTTATTTATTTTTGTCTACTGGCCTGAATATTTGAGAAATCTTAAAGAAAAATATGTACTCTCTGGCAGGATTTGAACTTGCATTCCCCAGGGCAGAGGGTTCCGTCATTAGATCTGATGTACTATAGACCGACTGAGCTACAGAGAACTTAGCCAATTAGGCAAGGTTAAACAGTGCCTTTAAATGATAATCTTCTCATCATAGACTGCTCAAAATTTTTCATATCTGCTCAGTCTTCATATCCAAATGTAAATAAAGCAATTTTCTAAAGACGTAATAAATATTCAAATATGGGTATTTACTAAAAATAACATTTAAAGTGATAAAATCTATCAGACTAATAAAAGAAATCCATTAGTTCTTTAAAAGTTAAAAAGCTTTTCAACTTGTCCTATTATCTGTACTTTTGTTTCAGATACTGTCATACAGCCTGCTAAGAGGCATATATATTATTTACAGTATTTATATTCAAATTGTTGTCCTCATCTTTGTTGCTGTTATCACAACATTTCGGCTATTGTGCCCTTCATCAGGTGTATATCAATCTGGGTAACCTATAGGGAATTCTGAAGCGAACCCTTTATTTAATCTATGAGGGTAAACTGTTCTTGTTATTGCTTACCAGTTTCCACTGAGTCCAAGTACACACCACTGCACAGTCCAGGAATTGAACTCATAATTATGTCACCAAATTCATGAATCAATGCTTTAATCTACTGGGCTATTGTCCCCTTAAGACAATTCACTGTAGTGAACTTGGAGCCTTAAACCTAATATGTTACCTCTATCACAGATATTGAACACTTTCCACTAAGTACTGCACATATATATATATATATATATATATATATATATATATATATATATATATATATATATATATATATATAAATTTATGCTATATTTATGGGTTAAAGTGCTCAATATTTGGGATAGTGTATATAAATATAAAAGTGCATATTGAAGTCAACACTATTTCATGCTTAAACACAGTCATCAAATATATATATATATATATATATGTGTGTGTGTTGTCAACAAGTATTTTCCTGTATTGTGAAGGAGGACAGGAATGTCTTTAAATGTTGTGCAATAATGTTGTGGTTGTCAACCAACATGTGTACTTACTTTTCTGCCAGAGATACAATCTCCTAAAGGACATTTAAACTGATATACAATGTTGGTCTTTTCCATTATTTTCATAGTTTTGTCAACAAGTATTTTCCTGTATATGCGTAATAACAAAGATAGTGTTTTGCCAAAAATAAAGTCTGGGATATTTCTGAAAGATAACATTTTTAAGGCAACCAGTCCATCTAATTATAGTGTTCAGTATCAAAAGAGACCATTAATTATCTTATCCCTACTCTGAATTTCATCAAATTTGATACGAATTAAATCTCCTGATGAGTAAATGAAATCACTGTGAAACTCTGAGTTGGAATAAGGTAAGTGGACATATATATTATATATGTAATGATCTGCATGGTGGCATAAGTTTTTACATTTTCCCACAAGCTGTAGTGCCAAAATTTCAAATGCTGATTTCCATTGCATATAAGCTCTCTCTAACTTTGGAGAGTGGTACAAACATCCTTCTTAATTCACTTCTCTTTTATTAGGCTTTTGCTAATGTTAAACATGAGAAGAATTGAACTGTGAATCAGTGGCTCTTGTGATCTGCACACTTATCACTACTGGGACCTATTTACGAAGTTGTAAATACATTGCACAGGCAGTATTTCTGTTTGCTGCTCCATTTCACTACAGTTATTTCTTTGAGAAATTTGCATATGCTCTAAAAAGGTCTTGGTGAAATTGTCTTGGTATTCATTTATTTCTGGGTGTTACAGCAAAATTACCCAAATCATGTTACAGCATAATTGTCCATCCCACAAAATGTTTAATATTTAAAAAAAAAAAACACTAAACTAATTTAGTTTCGTTTTTTCAGGTTTTCAGATAAAACATTTAGCCATCTTGACACCATTTCTCGTAAGAATCACTGAAAAAACCTTTGTGTTATTCTGCTAGAAAGAGAACAGCTTAAAATCATTTTGTGTCATACCCACTGTCTTCCCAAATGAGCAATATTGCGAGAAAAAAGATCATTCAGGCATTCAGTAATGGTACCAACATTACTCTTGCTTAAAGAAACATCAAGAGAATGATGAATAAGTTTAAAAAAGAGGAAACAGTAGAGAGGAAAACTGGCTCAGGAGGTCACAACAGGAAAAGGGATCAACATTTCAACTTAGTGCTAAAGAGATCAATTAGAATCCAATCCATAAGATGTTTGTCATGTAAGAGACTGTTATAACAATCCAAAGAGCAGTGAAAAAAGACTTGAAAATGAAATCGTAAGTAAAACCTGTGAGGCACCTTGTTACTCCAGGACAGAGAGAGCAAAGATAATCTTGAATACATTGGAAAATGATCCTAAAATATATATATATATATATATATATATATATATATATATATGAACATTATTTCAATCCCTCATGAGCTTGCAATCCCTAGCTATGATTAATTAATGATGAACATGTCATTTTCGCTTATGATTGATTTCATCACAATTTTTTTGCTAAGCTTGGAGAGTAATTATACATTCTTATTGGTCAATGTACAGTCCAATAGTATTATAAACACCTCATAAAATTCCATTAAGTTATCTTTAATCATTTTTAACATACACCAGTTCAAATTTTAATCTAACAATTGGATAATTTTGCTGTTACACCT